ACTGTTATGCCGCGGAAGACCACAAGAAGCGCTCCAAGCGCTTCTGAGTCGGCTGGCGTTAAACCAGTATGTGCCAAGTTCTTCTCCATTTGGATCCTTTCCTGCAATTCTCTGGGCAAAACAAAACCGAACGAAGAGGAGGCATGCTCGGTCAACATCTTCAAGTGTTTGCCGCCAGAAAGGAGCCCTGACGCCATCAGCCTCGGCTGCGTCTATGCAAGTCTTAACCGCTGCGAAGAGCAGTTTGTCGTGAGAAACAGCCGTGGACAACCCAGTCAATCGGAGCAAAGCTAACCTGCGTCTGCGCGAAGTAGGATTCCAGTAACTCCTTCACAAGATTTTCTGGGCCTCTGTCATTTGGTCGCTGGCATTCATCACGATTACGCCGCCCGTCTTTGTTATTCCACACTGTCAGTTTTGAGACTCCCAAGTTTCAAGGATACGAGAGGTGGGACTGACTTGAAGTTCCTGAAATGTCCAAAGTGAGACATGTACTAGAAATGTCGTGGTCAAGCCGCCAATAAACGGTGTGGGAGCCCTTCGGCGGTTGAGCTCGGGAGGCGTTTGCTTGTCGTAGATGGATCCTGGTAAGCTTCTTCTTCCTGGGATCCAACCTGGGTCGAGTTTTTTTGGCGCCTCCTTTGGGACTCGTGGATAATTTGCGAGGAGGCTGCCGCACTCGGCGAGGGCCTCCACCGCCGAGTACGTGCGGATCTTTTAAACTTTAAGAAGCATACACCTCTTTCTTTAATTTTCCTTCGTTATGTTTGATCTTAAGATACCATCTTTCCAAACTTTGTCTCGCTCTCCACTGTGGCCAGCACAGTGAAGCGACTATAGTCTCCAGCGAAAACGTCCCATAACGCCGATCCAAACATCTCCTCGCTCGTCCCGGTCGAAGCTACCATCCAGATGCTGCCATTCCCACCAGCTTCGACTTCCATCGCTCGATCCGTCTCCACGAATGCATCCTCCGCTGTCGCAGCACAGATCCCATCCGAGTTTCGGATGATCTCACACTTGAGCTTGGTGACCTTAATGCTGAAAGTGTTTCTGTTTTCGAGCTTCATGCAAACTTTGGCGATGGGTCGGCCCAGGTCGTCGAAGTTGAACGAGGCGGCTTGGATCTTGGCGGTGGATCTGGCTGGCACGGGGAGCTCACCAGTCTTTTCAGCCGAAACCTTGTACATGCCGTGGAAGTTCTCCTTGAACCAGTACTCGAGCTTGACGGAGTACGGCACCACTGTTCCTGGTTCCAGCCCCCCGTGCTCACCCACGTGATCCTTGAGCGAGAAAGTGTACGGTATCGTCACCTTTCGTGACGATCGAGCCGAGAGCGTCATGTTGTGGTCGATCCTCTGCACATCGAGGAGCTTGTTGTTCATCTCCATGGAAACGTTCGTGTAGACAAGCTGGAAATCCAGAAGTTTACATGAGAAAAAATAAGAGAACTCGTCTATACCTGGATTGGAAGAGGATTGCCATTCTTGACTCGAGCTTCAAGGCTGAGCATGACCTCGTCCGGAGTGATTCTCACGAAGCGCGATCCATTGAGCATCCCTGTGGGAGGAACAAAGTTGCGGAGCTTTCCAATGCCAAGCTTGTCATCGACAATGGTGAGGAACTGCTTTAGCTTGGAGATGGTGATGGCAAACATCCCACGGATGACCTCGAAACAATTCACCCTCGCTCGAATCGTGAATGGAATAATCCTTCCTGCGCTTCCACTCCTGCTGGGATTCCCAGGTCCACCGTTTCCCGGTGGCTTGACGTTCTTGTAAGCAAACTGGAGTGGCACCTTGATCACTTCAGAAGTTCGAGGCTGAATTGCGCAGGAGTGCTGGACCTGCTTGACGATCACCGGGTGATCTTCGGAGCTTACAGCCAGATCTTCGACCAGAAACTCAATGTCCACCAGATGTAGAGCTTCAGGATTTGGATTGTCTACTTCCAGATCCACATCCATGTCGACTTGCTCGTCCATTATAGACTTGACACACATTCCAACTATCTCAGCTCTCGCTGAATCCTGCGAGACTACGAGAACATCACACTTACCCGTGTCATTCATTGCCATATTAATCGATAAAACGCTTGCTACACAATTTCCTCACCATTGGACATTACACCGATTTATATATCTGAGCGTGTAGTTTTCTATAAGCTTTCCTGGATCCCTTCCTTGATTGCTGAGCAATGGCAAGGAATCGCTAAACTTACAAGTTAAATTGGTGTGAGACTTTTTTGTAAACTGAGATATATCTAAAATATGTTTGAATATTTTAGAATATTCTACTATCTAACGGTTGTTATTTATGTAGGTTAATAGTTTATAAACATGTTTATAATTTATAAATTTCCTAAATACTTCCTAGTATATTCTAGTTTATTCTACTATCTATGTAATAAGATTAATTTTGAGTTTATAAATTATAAACTTCCAATTGATAAATTTAATTAAATATAATAAACACTACTATTAAGAAAACCAAATATTGCTGCATTCAAGGTATAAAAAATATTTTTATTAAGTAAATTATATAAAAATTCTAAAACATTTATGCAAATTCTTACATGGGTAAACATATTGTCATTATGCTCTAAAAATAGTAATGGAAATGCTTTAGATAGATTATCCACAGATAACTATAACACATGTAACTATATTGTTCCTAAATTAATGCAGTAATAATAATATTTAAATTAACATATGAACGTCTTGAAAATTTTAAAAATACTATACTACTTGTTAAATGTGATGCAACTGTAATAGAATCTTTTATTGGTGAAACATTATCTCAATATCTTGTAAAATATTTCAAAGTATTAAAAAAAAGTTGAAATTTAGCAACATTTCCTATTTTGGTGGTATGGATATGCAAATTTTTAACTTTATGTTACTAGAAATCATCATAATAAATTTATTCAACAAATAATTTAAATTATTATAAAATAAATATTTTTATCATTTCAGTGTGAATTAATATTTATTTATATAATAATAAATCATCATATTGAAATTGGATAAATATTTATTTATTAGAAATAGTATAAAACCTCTGAATGAAAATTTCAGCTTAACATTAAACCTATATGCATGCTAGTGTTAACAAATATATAAAATAGTAAAGAGATATGAAATAGTAGTTTTCATGAATTTATTGAATATGGTCAATTCCAAATAAAGCAACTGTTATTTTGTTTAACAGTCATTATTGTATAGTAAATACTAAAGCCATGCATTATAAATGCTATTTTACTGGATAAAAGAAGGTAATATTAAAATATATAATATAGAAAAGTATGGAAAACATTGTAATTAATGATTTATTGTTTTCATGCTTTCATGTTATAAATTGCAATAACTCTTATTTATAGCAAGAAATTTGTAATGATAGCTTTTGGGGGGAGCTATACTTAGGGTGGCTTAACAAAAAATTATAGCAGTCTGCCAAATATATGAAAAAAAAACACATATATGCTTAAATTGTTGTAATACATGTGTGACTCATTAAATAATATTTTGACGACTTTTCTTTTACACATAGGCATGCATTGTTGCCTACAATATATGCATAACAAAGTCCAAATATACAATTTTTTGCATTGCATAAATTTTAACTCTACATCAATTTTTTTAACACATTAGTAAGGTTTAGACTTATGGCTTTTGAGCATGATTTTTTCCAATGGGCAAATTAAATTTTTGAGCATATTTTGGATATTATAAGTTAAGTTTGCCATTGCTATATGATTGGGGTTATTTCTTTGGTGAAGGTAATTATATGCTTATGACTAATCTTGTTTGCTAAAGGAACAAAAGTTGGTGGCCATGACCAAAAAGCACTAATTAAGCACTCCATTATAATGTGTGATGTTTTGACAAGACGAAAATCTCTCATTCAATACCTCAATTTTGGTGATGGTACTTATTGTCCAATTACTCCATAAATCACTTTGGTGATGGTATTTATTGTCCTATTGCTCTACAAATCAGTCATGAATTTCATCTTTACATAACATTGTAAATGGAAAAGAAAAGTTCTCATATAATATTAATTACCATTATATTCTTGCTTACATAAAACTTGTGTCGGTACTTTTTCATGTAAACCCCTTGTTAAATTTGTAATGACATCATGTTATATAGGATAACGTGGCAGTTTAACGTGTCATACCTTATGTATATACATGTACTTGCCCAGCAAATGTTAGGTGGCTTACAAAGAGGTGGATGTGTGGAGAGTCTTTGACCGGATGGAGAGGCATGACATTGTCTCGTGGACGACACTGATGCTCGAATACGTCCAGGTGGAGCAAGCACCGGCTGCACTGGATCTCTTCTCACGGATGCAGCAAGTCCAAGGCCTGGTACTTGATGCTCCAACTTACGCTGTTGTGCTCTGGGCCTGTGGGAGCTCCATGGCTCTGGAGACCAGAAGGGCCATCCACCAGCAGATCCATCACGCCGAGAGGGAGGCTGAGGTGGTCATCGTGAATTCTCTGCTGGGCTTTTACGGACAGTCCGGCTGTATGGCGGAAGCTCGTGAAGTTTTTGACTCGGTGGCCAGTGCGGGATGTGATGCCATGACTTGGAACATGATCATCGCCGGCTACTGCCACCAGGGAGACATAGCCTCAAGCTCTCAGGCTCTTCAAGAGGATGCTGGAGGATCACTGGCAATGTACTTCAGATTCTTCAGCTTCCCCTCCTTTGACAACTTAAAGAACTCCCTTGACGCCTTCAAGTTGCACACCTTCATGTCACTCTCATACCTTGCATCACCCACACCCGCTGCCACAGCTCCAGGATTCAAGCATAGGCCAGCTCTTCATTTCTGGCACACTCCCTCACCAGCCCTGCCTATGGTGCTGCTCACGCACTGTGCACAAGTGAGTTGATCCCAAAAGGAGCCTGGATTGTGTGCCCAACTACCATTCTACTTGCCCCTGTTATCCCTGTGAGCACCTCCTTTAGGAGCTTACAGACGCACAAACTCTCACAGGAATGCCCACACAACTGTGTTGAAGCAAAGCAGCCATGGAGCCTTAGGAGTGCATTGTGTAACACCTGTCACCACACCCTCTTCCTTTCCCAGCCACATGTGCATCCCACCCATTGGCCACCACAACATTGAGCCGATATTCCTACTAACCATGGCCACCAGCTCTGGCCTGGGCCTAGGGTGGCCTCCCCTTCCCCAGAACCATATGGCCCTGGATTGGACGGCTGTGGGGGTCTGTGCCCTTCATTTTTATTATTATAGATAGCATACCCCATGATAAAACATTATATAAATAATTATGTTTTGATTGTTTATAAAGCAATTGAAAAGTGATTGTGTACATAATATTTTTGCATGCAACTCAAAATAAAAAAAATAAAACCACACATGTAAATATATAATGCTCCTATGCATAATCACATATTTATTGCCATACTTATTTTATATATATATATATATATATATATATATATATATAAATACTTTCTTTTTTTAATTAATAAATGGCTATTTAATATATATTTAAGCTAGCAATAATAATGTGCTAGAGTTTTTTATTTGGTCTTTGATAAACTAAGAAATGCATCCAGAATAAAAAGTGACAAGGCATTTATTTACTAAATTTTATCTTTGAAAACCTAAATTCTACTGTTAAATTAGATTTTTTATTTGGAAATTCTAAGCACATTTATTTTATGTTAAATAAAATAAGTAACAATACTCTTTTTTTCTTTATAGATAATTTACTGCTATAAATAAATTTAAACAATAAAATCTTCTGTTTTTAAGTAACGTTTATTATTGTTGAGAACCTTTATGACCATAGATACTAGACATCAACACGTACGTTGCCCCTTCTTTCTCATCGATTCTCAGTAACTCATCGTACGCTAGCTTTCCTACGGCCACATTGTTCCACTTGTTACACGCGCCTAGCAGCGTCGTCCACGCGAAAGCATCGGCTTTAACCGGCATGGAGTCCAATACCTCAGCGGCCAGCTCCAGCTCGTTTGCTCGGCCAAGCATATCGATCAAGCAGGTGTAGTGCTCCACGTCCGGCTTGATTCCAAACTTTGGGGAGCTCATCGCCTGGAACACCCTCCTGCCCCTGTCCACCAGACCAGCGTGAGCACAAGCGCTCAAGACCGAATTGAATGTGAGCTTGTCGGCCTGCAACCCCTCCAGGAGCATCTGGTCGAAGAGCTGGAAGACAAGATCACTGTCGCCCAGTCGGCTATATCCTGCTATGAGCGATGTCCAGGTGACCGAGTCCATCGCCGTTGCTAGAGCAGTGAAGAGCTCGTGAGCCTCGGACATGCGACCGCATCTTCCATAAGTGTCTACTAAAGAGTTGCTCATCACTGCCGAGCTCTCCATGCCGAGCCTGCAAACCTCTGCGTGGATTTTCCTCGCGGCACCCACGGCCATCATGCCACCACAGGCCTTGAGCGCCGCTATAAAGCTGAGAGAATCCGGTTCCAAGCCTTCTCCATCTCCATCCTTGGACTTCATGCGGAAGAACAGCTCTAGAGCCTGATCTTCCTCCCTGTTCTCCACATAGCCGAGCATCATCGCGTTGTGGACCGCTACTGTGCGTTGAGGCATCGCGTCGAAGACCTTGCGAGCGTCTGGCATGCTGCCACACTTGGCATACAAGTTCACCAAGCTGGTCGAGAGAAACAAGACCGAGTCGTAGCCAGAGTTCGCTGCTCGGAAGTGGATAGCTCTCCCTGCGTCGAGAGAATTGCTCTTGACAAGCTTGCCGGCGACCATCTTGCCTTCTTCTCTGGATGATAGCCCTGTGCAGGCCTTGATCGCAGCAACATACGTGATAGAACACCCCTTGAGTGTCATGCTTGACACCAAGTCGAGAACCATCTCTTCCTCCGAGTTCTCGCCATATCCCAGCACCAAAACGTTCCATAGCACCAGGTCATGGCAAGGCATCCTATCGAAGACCGTCCGAGCATCTCTCATGCTCCCACACTTAGCGTACATGGCGATCAAGCCGCTTGTGACGAGCATGTTTTTGTCACACTTGTTCTTCACAGCGAGGGAGTGGACGCGCATTCCCTTCTCCAGCGATTCAACCTTGATCGCAACTCTCCCATTTCCCAGCATCCTGCCTCCTTCCTTCGCTGCCATCGCCGCGCAAGCCTTGAGAGCAGCAACAAAAGTCAGATAATTCGGAGAACACTCCATCCTAGAGGAGAGAAACAACTGCAAAGCCATCTCACCTTCGCCATTGTCAACGTATCCGAGCAGCAGCGCGTTCCAAGACACCACGTCCTTGTCCACCATCGCCTCAAAAACTCTTCGAGCTTCCACCATGCTCCCACACTTCGCATACATATCCACCAGCGAGTTCATGAGATAGCTGTCGGAGCACCAGCCATTTCTTTCCGCTCGGTGATGGATCCCAGTCCCGATCTGGAGAGACTCCACCTTGACAAGCCTTCCATCCTCGAGTTTCTTCCACTCTTCTTTGGCAGCCAAAGTCGTGCAAGCCTTGAGAGCCGCCACAAAAGTTCGAGCGTTGGCTTCCTCGTGAGCGGCGGCAAAGAGCTTCATAGCCAGCTCTTCCTGTCCATTCTCCGCCAGCGCCATCATCAGAGCGTTCCAGGAGACGATGTCATGGACCGGCATTCTCTGGAAGACGCTGCGCGCATTCTCCAGGCTCCCACACTTGGCATACATGTTGATAATGCTGCTCCCCACGTAGAAATCGAGCTTCTCCTCGCTATCGATCACCCGCGAGTGTAGAAACCTGCCGGCGTCCAAGTCCCGCGTGACGCCACACGCCTTGAGGGCCGCCAGAAAGAGCTGAGCTCTCGAACTGGGGATTTCCTTTCGAGAGCTCTCCCATCTCTCCAAGATGAGATTCTTGACAACCCTGCTCGTCGTGACCAGCGGACAGGAGCCTCTCCCCAAATGCATGCCCCGATTCACGAAAATCGGCCGCCCCTCGCGAGAATCTCATCCTCAGACGCGAAACCACACCTGCTCTCATTGTAGATCATCTGGCGAATCCCGGATGAGTCGAAATCATCGCATTCTTTACCTAGCTCAAGAACCCTAAGAAAATAGAAAGGGTTTAAGGTTTAATAGAAACTTTATACTAAAGGGAAAGAGTTATACGACTTGCATGTATATATTTGGCATCTTATTTATATGTATTCGCATCTGGGATCTTCTGGCTTGAGGGTTGGCAACGATCCACGAAAATGAAAATGGAAAGAGGCTGTCGGCAATGTTTTGGGAGAATTAAAACGTTGCATGTGCTTCTCGTGATGAGGCTACTGCTTGGATGAAAGCTCAAATCAGGTTGACCTCCTTCCCAAGGTAAACTCTCCCAAGGATCCCAAAGATCACAGGATGCAATTAGCAAAGCATATAAGGTTCGTGCATTCTTTGTTCATTTCTAATCAGTGCTTTCTTCTGGATCTTGCCATGGCATTCTCTCCTGCAATTTTTTTTCTTTGTGTCCAGATTTGTCATGCGTTCTGCAAGACAAGGTACCACTTTTAGATCTGCAGCAATCTTTTGGGCCAGCATTTCCTAGCGCAGCTTTGTATTTGACATAAAAGGTGTGTTTTTTTTTTTTTTTTCAGGTGCTAAACAGGTCCATTTCAAGACCACCATGGAAACCAGCAAGGAGAAAGTAATCAAAGCTTTTGTCAAGATTAATACTTACACTGGCAACCCTTCAAAGTTCTCCAAGGCTTCCAAGCTCGTTTTGCAGCTGCTTGATATGAAACATGGACTTTATTCTTTGAGATGCTTGAGGTTGCCATGAGTTCTCCAATTAAAGCCAACACAGCAGCTGTTCCAGTGGATTACCAGCAGCTCTTTTCGGCTGTGCAATACAAAATCAATGTAAGTAGCAACTTCAAGTGAGTTTCTTTCCTTTAGAACAGACTAAGTCTTTTTGCAGTCCTTCGCTCCTTCACAGCAAAAACAAATCCAAGTGTGGGCTCGTTGGCCACAGCTCTGGAATGGCTTTTACACCGAAGACAATTACAAGAAGAAAGCTAAAAAAGAGACTACCGGATGCATAAACTTGCAAAAGAACAGGAGAGAAGCCTTGAACGAGTGCTTGACAATAGCTGCAAAACGCTACAAGCAGGCATGGTAAGTAGTAGTTCCACCTCGTTTTGCTTTAATTCTGTCTGCCCCTGATGAGACGGGCCACAATCCTCGACGGCCAGCAGCGCACCTTGTCGGGGCATCGGACGAAGCAGCTTCCTTGACTTGATGCCGAACAAGCAATCCAGCTCCACAATATAAGCCCAACCCAGATCGACCAGCATGAAACCATCGTTGCCAACAGGAACTATGGACATCCCTTCTTGCATTCAACCAGGAAAAGGTGGTAAAACCCCAATAGCACGTCGAAAGCTACCCTGCACAGCTTGTCGCCATGGAGAACCATCTCTTCCACAGACCACTTTCATGCAACAGCACCAAACTCGCGCTGCAGACTGAAGAAACCTTGGGAAACCAGCACTGGCAATCTAGACGTCACGTAATGTGTCACCATTGAATTTAAGTCTAACATTGTTCGATGCTATTTCCAGACCGTTAAGTACAGCATATCCGCTGGGAATATCAGTAGAGCAAAACAAAGGAAAATAAGCTTGCCTTGACATTTTTTTTCCAGACGGGTGAATGTGTCAGCCACGGAGGAGATCTCAAGAATCGTCGTTTTGCAGAAGATGAGCACTTGATCAGCGTCTGGAGCGCGCCTCACTTAAGAGAAAAGTGGAGCTTTGACGAAGTTTCTTTCTGCCACAACCTGATATGGCAAAAACACTGGATCGGCAAAAACACTACACGGGCTCTTGAGCTCAACGGATCCAGTACTCTGGGCTGTGCTGTTGGTAGAGGCCGCCCGGATAGCTAGGAAGGCTGGAAATATTTCGAGGCCACGAGCGACCGGAGATTGCTGCATCGAGCATTCCAAAGTGGAATTTTGCTGGAAGATCATACATATAAACCTTAAGAACATGTGAATGATCATCAACAGGAACGCGAGGAAAGAACTCTGGATTTCAGGTGAGGCGGTGGCGGTGGCGACGGCAATGACTGTCATGGTGTAATCGATCGTGATCTCATCATTGATCAAAGACCGTGGCGCGGATGCAATTCCGGGTCTGGACACCTGACCATTGCATGAATGGAGAGTGATGAAAGAGGAGAAGTATTTTGCTCACGCAAGCTCAGCGAAGATCACCCAGCGCGGGGGAGAACTAGGTCGAGTTTCGTGGTAAAGAAGGCGCTGAATCTGCGTTGGGACTCTCCCTTGCACGTCGGTCCAGTCATGGCGTCGTAGAGGTGCTGCCGGAAGAGCACCACGTCTCTCCCGCGCGCATCATGTTCTCTCAGGACATGGAAGAAGAGTATCTCTACACATTCTCGTGGCCTAGAATGATTTCGTCCTCCCTGGCGGCCCAATGCACGTCCTGGGAGCGCCAGCGATCGTTCCAGCGGTTCAGAAATCCGTGGTAATCGCACGAGCTGGGTAAGAAACTATCAATGGATTCGAAGACGGCAACCACCATAACATTACCTTTTATTCTATAAGATAAAAGTTGATTTTAAAACCCAGGGTTTTCACATATGGCGAGTGATGACGATTTTGTGGTCCTTCTCAGGGCCAAAGGGCCAGATTTGCCAAAGAGAGTTCTTGATCGAGATGGTGAGGGTGTGGAGTACTCGTTCGTGGGGCCTAGCCTCTGTGCAGATGGAAAATCTCTCTTGGAGTACCTAAGCGATGGGCAGCCGCCAGAGCCCCTGAAGTATTACGTTGGCAGGGAACATCAGGGGAGGTATGGATGGCAGGAGCTAATAGCGGAGCTACAGCGTGTGCCAAGAGTTGCAGATTGTATCCATGTCTTCGAAAAAGGTATATGTCTTTGGCTGTAAGTGGTGCTTTGATCTTTTGTGTGACTGCATCGTTCGTCGTTCCTTCTAAACACGATTTTTTGTAATTTTGCAGTGGCGAGAAGAGAGCCCATTACCAAAGGTACTGAGCGCCTGTTCGTCCTTTATCAATAGCGTTTGTTTGTTTTGCAGGGCTTCTACAGAAGTTCGGAGATCAACTCTCCTCTGTCGTTGCTGGCTGTATCCATGTCGTCCAACGCATAGAGAGAAGAAAGCCCATTACTAAAGGTACTCAACGCCCGTTTGTCCTCTATTAATAGCGTTTGTTATGCAGGGGTTGTGGAAGCTATACTACAGAAGTTTGGCGATGAACTCTCTAGCAGTATTTCCAGCATGACCCCTGAGCACGCATTCAAAAGAAAGTTCTCGCTCACCAAGGTTCCAATTTGGCAGATAAACGTCCAGGGAAGTTGGCAACCGAGTCTTTTGTGGCATGGTCTGGAGCAGCCTCTTGGTTCTGGAGAGATTCTTTCATGGATGAGAATTAGCAACCCCGATCATTTGATTCTATTCGACGTCTCTGGAGCCGGAAAGACGCGTTGCTTATACGAAATTGCAGCGCAGCAGACCTGTCTATACTTCACCGGCATGTGTTCCGGTTCTCCTACTGCTGATGGCTCCCGGGACCTGTTGGTTGTGTCCGAGACACTGCAGAGGCTGTATCCAACAGGTCCGATCCCGCTTTCATCCCTCACGACCTGTTTGAAAGCGGTGCTTTTGTCAAGGCTGTTCCTTCACAAAAAGTTTGACGAGCTCCTCAAGCCACTCAGCAACTTGGCTTTCCTGTTCATGCAGGCTATGCCTCGGCAGCTCAACTATGTTCAAGCTGACCCTTGGGCCTATTTAACCGGGTGCATCTTGACGCTGGCAACGTCAGCAGATGATCTTCCTGTATTGAACACCATCTTGACCACGATGCTCCATGTGTGCCCCTGGAACTACTTGATTATTTTGGACGAGTACCAAGAGGTGGACAGATATCTGAAAAACAGGTTCAGAACAGGAAGTGAAGGAAGCCTTGAAGGATCGATGCTGGATATGTTTGCTACTGCTCTGCAAGGTGCTGGGTTCAACAAGACAGTGATCTTCGCTGGAACTGGACGATTAATGGTCTACCATGACACCAAGGTATAATTTGTGTATCCGTTTTTTGTGTTTCATGGCTGATGTTAGTCTTCTTCTCAGTTTATGCTGAACCGTGTTAGGAGTTTGTGGTATACAACCTTCGGCGAGTTTCGGGATGGTCAGTCCCTGCAGCAATATGCTAGCAATATACTGGAGGATTGCAGTCCCATAGACTTTGAGAGGTTGGGGCTGCTGTACAGAGGACGATATCGAAAATTTGTTACCGCTCTTGAGCAGTATATCGTTTGTAGCCCCCCGGCATCTGCAGCTACGAAGTTCTTCCTAGACTTTGCAAAGGACATGGCATCAAAGAGGGGTGCCTCAATGCTTTTAGACCACAATGGTGACAGGATACGCCCAACAAAAATTATGAAGACAGTGAACAGGACACTGCTGGAAGATGTTTACTGGTTCTTTTCTCTTGTCCCCAAAGATGAGCTAGTGGAGGTAAAAGCACTAGTCCAGACCGTGGTAGCAAACTATTTCTTTGGCACAGGAAAGACTGTCTCTCTGAATCCAACGCTATCACTTGTGGAATTTGGACTCGCAAGGGTGCATAGGAAGGGAGAGTCGCAGGGGTTCATGCAGTGGGTATATAAGGGTGAAGATGGAGTAATTGGGCATGCTACAGCAAATGAGGGTTGTGATGTGGAGATTGCAGAGCCACTGGTTTGTCATGCCTTGTGGCACTACTATAAGGAGAACTCTTGCTTGGAACACATCCAGGAGCAGTGTTGTTCAGATAAAGCAGAGCTAAGTTCTAGTGCTATTTATGAAAGGGCAGTAGTAGAGATGATAGCCGAGCAGCTAGATGGCAGATGTTTGATGGATTTTATTTCGTCATGGAACACTGAGAAGATCCCAGATAT